TTTTTTGCAATAATCAAAATGACTTATGGTTTGTTTCAGTTGGTTGGCTGCTGCTGCTGCTGCTTTGCATTGGGATTACGGATAAAAATAAACTAAAACTTTAGCAAACCAAACTTTTTAGTTTTGGAAAAACAAAAAAGCAAAGAAAAAAGAAGTGGTTTTATCACAGCCATAACATATCTTTTTACATTCTCCTTCGTTAAACAGAAAAGAAAAAGAGTCTTAATTTTTTTCCATTTTAAAACAGAAAAACTCTCTTAATTTCACGTTTTTTCTTCTTCATTATCCTTCATTTCTTTGTTTTTTTTTTAAACCTTTTTTTTTTTTTACTTCGACAACATTAAATGAACATTTGATGGGTAACAATTTGTCATTAGTTAAGTATCAGAAATGCCATTACTGTTATTATTATTATTATTATTACTATCATTACTACTATTATTGCCGTCACTATTCCACTATCGCCTCAGTTACTATCACTTATCACTACAAAACACCAAATTACCCTCTACTCAAAATCGTATATTTTTAATGCTTTTATCGTCGGTTCTTTCTTTCTTTTTTTTCCCACGTTTATCCTCTTCATTGATAAAATACGAAAAATATTTATCCGGTATATTGTTATTGAAGAATAAGAACTAAGAAGAAGAGAAAGAAAATGATGATCATGATAATGGTAATGAACATGAAAAACGGAGAAAAGAAGTAAAATATTTTTTTTCTTCAAGTTTTTTTCTTTCTTTTTTTTTTGCCTTTTTTTGCTTTTCCATTAAACAGTTTTCAACAGTATCAACAAAAAAAACGAGTTTTTATTTTTACTTTTTTTTTTTAGTAAAGTGTACCTCTGTACAACTGCTTTAAATATGTGATTAGTCACAAAAAGAGACTTAAAAAGAAAAAAAGAGGAAAAAAAAAAGAAAGATGAGTAAAAAACAAAAAAAAAAAAGTATAAATGAAAAGTTTCATCTTTTTAGCTGTAGTAAAGTATACATCTTTTTCTTTGGGTTTTTTTTTCCTTTTCTGCACATTTAACTTAATTATTTATATATGCGAAACTATTTTCAGTTTGCCAACAACAACAACAACAACAACAACAAGAAGCCAAACTTGAGAGCAAAAAGACTGATCATCAGTTAGCTGCAAGATCAATGTAACAGCTAAAAAGGGTTTTTTACCAACGTTCTTTTTTGCAGTTCAATATTCAAATACTCTATTTGCAATAATTGATATACAAAAGACGGCTTGTTGAAAGCAACGGAATTTGGTTTTTTTTTTTGGTTAGGTGAAAGCGATAAAACTGGTTGCTCAATGAAAACACTCATTATGTGCAATCGAAAAGAAGTTGAGATATTAATTTAGGCTTTTTGCTTTATCACTTTGTGATAGCTGAAAAACCAACATTTTCGTCTACAGACTAATTCGGTTTTCACCTTTTGATACTGTTCTATGATGGCAAATAAAACTTACAGCGCTTTGATCAATCTGAACAGTCAGTTAATCGTTTTTTGTTTTCTGATACTGCACTTAACGAATGCAGCTCAAATATGGCAAAAAAAAC